CCCGATTGCAAAATGATTGGATATTAATAAATTGAAATCGATTTCAATTCTATGTACAATTATAGATTATTTCTCAAGTGCAACTATAAGTGATTTTCTATTTTTATCGTTTATCGATATTGATCGATTATACAGTTATTGACATCAACGAAGTATCAATGAGTTATCGATAATATTAAGGCAACACAGTTTTAGCTTATTGTTGACATCAACATTTATCATCGATAAATTATCGATATAATTTAGCCAGCTCAGTTTTAGTTTATCTTTGGTGTTTCTTCTTGCCTTACCTTATGAAATAATCCTGTACAAACTCCTGGTTCTCATCCAGCCACGCCTCCATGCGCGCATACTCCGGATCGTAGGGCCGGCTATGCTGTGGCGACGCTGTCTGATGATAGGGATGTGAATAGCCCTGATATAATTGTTGTTGCTGCTGTTGTTGAAGGTGCAGCGGCTGCTGCTGCTGTTGCTGATAAGCGGCCGCTGTGTTGGCTACGTAGCCGCCGCTGCTGCTACCGCCGGCGCTGCTGCTGTTGCCGTTGATGTTGCTGCTGCAGTTGTTGCTGTTGCTGTTGCTGCTGCTGCTGTTGTTGTACTGATAGTGGGCGGGTTGTGGCTGTTGCTGTGATAGCGGCAGGGGGACACCGGTGCGGTGTGTGGCAATGAGCAGGCTATGCTCACTCATACCGTACCCTGTGCCCCCCTGCTCCGCGGGCATACGTGTCGCTAGCTGCAGCGGCGTCGACGCTGGCTCCTCGATGCTGCGCAAATGCAGACCTGCAAAAAAAAAACAAACAAAAAAAACAAACAGAAGTGTGAACATTGAATTAAATATTCATTTAAAGCTTTAAAATTATATTCAGTTTTTATTTAAACTTTTGCCGACAGCGCTGACAGTTTTTATGTGCGCGCGCTTCTCCCAATTCGATTGCACGACATTTGCATTGCAAATGGCCAACATATCCTTTAAACCCGCTGCAAAGTCACGCGCCGCACGCGACTCATGAGGGCAGAGAGGAAGAAGCACGGAACATCCCTCACTCTCTCCCCACACACAGCTGGCAACCCCATTGGCCCATAGACTCTATGCAAATAGCCGTTGCTTTTTGTTCCCTGTGTTTAAATTTATAATTTGGCACAAAGCGTAAAAAAGTTTGAAGAAAATATTCGTTTTTGCACATAAATTCGGTCAAATTGCTTTTCCAGCTCATCAATTTTTGTGGGCTGTGACAATTAAGCGGCACTTAAAGCGGCGGCCGCACGCTGCGTATACGTAATATGTGCTGAAACGAAGAGCAAGAGCAAGAAACTGCAAAGTCTCGCGACACAGTTCAAGTGGGCTTCACTTCAAACTGGGCTAAGCTCTCACATTAACCGGAAATATTGGCAATTTTCTGTGAAATATTGGCATACAATGGCAAGTCTCCCGTTCGGTGGCCCGTGGGTGCCATTGGGCGCCTGATTAAGTGCTAAAAATAGAAATAAATACTTGTATCCTTGTGATGGATGTCTAAGGATATCAGCGCTACAGTTTTCCATTCAACTGGAAATTGTGACTTCTCAACAGCTGCTTTGTGTGTGCTCGTCCGTCGTCTGTCTGCCGGGCTGGCTGTCTTTGTGTGTATAAATTTGATTTATGATCTACTTTTTGGCGCACAGCATAGCAACAAAATAAGTCAAACAACAAAAACCCCCGCCCACTCACACACACACACACACACACACTCAAATAAAACGAGTTGCTCCTGTCAACTGATAATTTGACTCTCCGATAAGCCAACAAACTGAGCAGCATTTACAAATTGTTGGCGTTTGCTTGTGCAAACATTCCAGCTAGATTTATGAGTGTCTATTCAATGGACTCCACTCAGCTGCAACGAAAATTGGGGGCATGCAATGCGCCAGCTGTGAGACTTGAGCGAACTCGGAACTATTCAAGTTTGGAATACAAAATGAGTTGTTCCATGAATTACATTTCTTTGTAATTTAAAAATCAAATAATAATGAATATATATACATATATATAAAAGTTTTAATACTACAATATGTATAATAAGTGAAAGAAAATTATTAAATTCGTAGCCATAGGAATGACGACGTAAGTCCTAACATAGATTAACTGGGGAGCCTGTAAGTCTTAACAGAGTGCATAAGACTTAAGAGAGAGTCAGCAAGCCTAAGCAGATTATGTGTAAGCTTTAACAATGTCTCTGTTAAACTCAACATAGAGTGCGTAAGACTTCACAGAGTGTCTGTAGTCCTTAACAGAATGTCTGTACACTTCACAAGAGTGTGCAGCTTGAAACAGAGAGCATTAGCATTAACGGTCTGTAAGACACAACAGACAGTGCAAGAGACCGATCATGAGCTCGGTACGTTTTAACAGTGTATATTTGAGCTTTAACAGACAATGAGTATGGCTTAACATAGTTCTATAGCTGATAACTCAGCAGAACAGATTAACAGAAAGCCTATTGGAATTAACATATATAATTCTATGTATAATAATAAAATGATCTCATTTGTCAATCATGCTCTGTCGTTATTAACCTAACAGTAAACACATTCATTTATTGTGCTTGAAGGTAAAGCCTATTCAGTTCAATTCACTATGTAAATAGATTATAGTATTTACACAATTTATTTAAATTCATTAATATTACTAATTTCCACCATGTAAATAAATTGAAATATGCGATTTATATTTTAATGACAACTTGGTCGATGCACAAAACAAACCAAGGACAATCCGTATTGATTTTACTGACTTTATATGAACACATGTGGCAAATGTTGACACATTTCACATTTTTTTCCCGTCTCCATATATATATTTTAATGAAATATTTTATTTACATTCGTATGTCAACGATTATTGTTTGCTTAAATAAATCGCTTATTTTATTTAACCATAAAACTCAAATATATTTGCTTTGATTTTATTTTGTTTTTCTTTCCTTTTATTTATGGTGAATGCAATTTCATAGAATTTGATTTCATTTGAGCACACGCTGAGTTTTTCATTTACCATAAATCGTGAATCTTCCGTTATATTTGCTTGACGGGATATTTTTTGCATGGCATTGCTGGTAATCTGCAAAGTTCTTGTTGGAATTTTGCATTTGGTTTCCTTTTCTCGAATATACATAGATATATATAGAAGCTTAAAGTCGGCTACTTAGCGTTGAGAAATTTATGAGCATCCACTGGAGAGTTGGGTGCAATGGCGGTGGGGTGGGGTGGCCAGAGAGACATGAACAAGTGCTGCACTTACATGCCACATGCACGTGACCACCCCGCCCCACCCCGCCTCCTCTGCTGTCGCCCATCTCATGGCACATTTAATCTTTTAAGCTGCATTTGCCTTGCACAGGCAACATGCAACATGCTTAAGCTGCTGCAACACATTTGGCACTACACAGAGTCCCTTCTCTGCGTCTTCTCTTCTCGCTTTGTCCACCTCTTTGCCCACTCAAAGTCAAATGACAGCGTCATGGCTGAGTGGGCGTTGCCACGCCCCAAGCTACAACAACCCGAATACTAACACTCCTCCCCCCCCACCCCACCAGCACTTGCATTGGCACTCTCTGTTGCGGTTTGACGATGCGTCAGCTTTATGTAAGACACATCCATACCAGATCCCAGGCCCCAATCCCCAGTCCTCAATCCCCAATCCTCATCACTACCCATGCCTAGAGCCTTACGTTGCAATGGAATTTAGCTTTTAGCAGCAGCGAAGAGAAAACTACAGCACTCGGAGTTGTTCGACTAAGCGTTACATGTGTCGAAGATTTGGAGAATAGAGTGAAGATAAGGGCTAAAATTTAGGAGAAGTTGGATCGAATTTCAGCAGAGAAGTAATTATGTTGTTATAGAAGAACTACCAGAAATAAATATTCTGTAAAATTACATTTTCTGCTAAATTAAAATGGCTGTTAAATTAAATAACGTATTAGAGTTAACAAATGTATTCTTAAAGTTGAAGAGTTATCAAAATACATATATGCTTACGTGTATGCTAGACTTCCATTAGTTTTTATGTCAAGCAGCAAATTGTCCTAATTGCTTAGAAGATGTATTTAACATACCCTTAAGATGAAGCCTTATAATTTAGCAGATAAATTTCATATATAAATATAGGATTTCCTTGGTTAACTTTCTGGTATATTTACTTTGTGAAGCCTTATGAAAAATCCCCAAAAAAAAAAAGGTCATTAACAGTCAGAATAATATCATGTAGCTGTTTAATTTCCTATTCCCGCTTCTTAAAAATTTTACTTAAGTTCATGCAACCGTCTATATACATACATACATCAATAGAAACTAAAAGCTACATATACCCGCCCTTTTGTCCTTTCAATTTATAGGGTATATGTGATATACACACAAATATACACATGTTAAGTGTTTGGTTTTTGTAGTTGAAGCCAAATGCAAATTGAAAGTTGGCAAATGTGCAAAAGAAAAGCATTTTTTCTCTCTACCTCTCTTACTCACTATCTCACTGACCCGCTCTAATGCTTGCTTTTCTTGAGCATTCTAGATGTTGGGTTAGTGCGGCGAGGGCAATCGATCGATGGGGCAGAGACAAGTTTTTGGCCCAACATTGTTGTTCGTGTGTGACAAAATATTTAGTGCAAATTTTAACGCAGTCAAGTTTCAATTTAACGCCAAGTCATCTTGAGTTCAGTTTATTCTTCTTTTTTTTTTTCTCACCTGTTGTCTCCAGCTGCTGATAGTGTTGTTGTTGTTGCGGACTTTTAGTCGGCGTTTGTTGTTGTTGTTGTTGTTGCTGCTGTTGTTGTTGTTGTTGTTGTTTGCTGTTCTTGCTCTTGTTTTTGTAGCGACAACCACGAAATCGACACATACTTGCCGCTTGGCCCATGGGGCCCGCCAGCAATGCGAATGTTAAACCCTCCGTTTTAATGAATTTAATTTTCTCAACTTTGAGCAGAGCTGCCGCGTAACGTAAATTGTATCTCGAATTGTTATTGTTGTTTTGTTTAGTTGTTGTTGAGGACTCAATTTTGTTGGCTTTAGTGTGGCCAAAGGGCCGCTCCGTGGACTTTTGTCAAATTTTTGTAGATTTTGTTGACTTTGGTATTGTTTATTGTTTATCTTGTTGCTCACGCTGCTGTTGTTGTTGTTGTTCACGTTGTTGTTTTTATTTCTGTTTGGTTTTACACTTTGTTGCACTTGCATAATAAATTTGTTTATATTATTTAAAACAAGTTTTGTACTTATTATGAAAATTGTTTGATATTAATGAGCTCGAACTGTAGCTTTGTTTTGCGACACTTTCAAGACCTGTTGGCAATTGGTTGTTATATTTATATTACATTATATTGAATACGGAAGCTGTCCCTACTTCGCTTTGTACACAGTTAGCTCTATATACATATGCTGTATATATTTTTATACATTTTCTGCTGCATTTTACATTTTGCGGCTTTTGGCTTGGCGCAATTCAATTAACACTTAAGCCGCAGCCCAAATGCAACGCAGACACCGACGCCAATTGATAAACAAACAAAGGCCAAAAAGGTCCCTCCAGCAACCAGCTAACAGTGCCTCGCAGCAGGTGAGGTGGGCGCGAGGGCAGTGGGCGCAGCGTGGGCGGCCCGACACGACTGACAGACAGACAATGCAGCCCACGTGAAGGCAGGCATTGAAATGTCAGTTAAATAAAATCAACATGGCTCGAACCGCACAGCCAAATACATCCCAAATAGAGTAGAGTAAAAGGAGAGAAGCCCATAAAGAAGTAGACTTTGGGATACACTTTAATGTGTGCGTATATACATAGGTGAGATAAAAATTAAATTAAATATATGCAAAAATTATAAAAGAGAAACAACTGAGAATTTATCCATAAATTATTGAATATAAAGTATATACAGTTTCAATTAAAAAATGATGTTAAGGAAGCCGTCTAAGCTTTGCCAAATACATTTTATGTAGAAAGTATAAAAGTAGCTGGAGTATTTTGTTAAAGTATATACAATATATTCATTACGATCTATTTATATTATAAAAAATTATAGCAACCGATTTTGTAAGATTCCAATTCTACCTATAATAAAAATTCGATCCATAAACTAACATTTCTTTTATAACAGGTATAAATACAATTTAAATCGCTTTATTCACAAGCATATATTTATAATAATTACTATCAATTAAATTAATTTATTCTTAAATTTCTTTTATTTTATTTTATTTTTTTTTTTTTTATTAAAATAAGTTCAATTCTTTTCCACTCACAGTTGATACCCTTTGTTTACAGGATGCATAAGCATATATGAACTTAAAACTTTCATGAAAATTGGTTTGCTTAGAATTTGGTTTCGGTTGCGGTCTCGTGTTCGGTTACGTTGGGTTCGTTCTGGTTCAGTTTGGTTGGCAACTTGCAATCTGTTTGCATTTGACGGGCAACAACATAAAAACGCGAGCAAGTCACAAGTAGAGGCACTTCTGCATTCATTCACTCACTCACTCAGTCAGTCAGGCAGTCAGTCAATATAGCTGTGTCTAGTATATTGACAATTGAGTATTGAATTAACGGCAACTATTGGCTGGCACTCTCGAAGTGAAGAGATCTTCAGTGCAGTGATTTAATTTCAGCTGCTGCTGCCAGCTGTTGCATCACTTGTTGGCAGCCCGTTGAGAAGTTGACAGCGGAAATGATTTAATTTCCGTTTTACTGCAGCATCAGCAGCAGCAGTCGTGGCAGCAGCACCACCAGTTGGTTGTCGGCAACAATAGACAGCAGTGGGGCATGTGGCATGTGGCAAGTGGCTGGCAAAAGGATTGTTGCAACATTCGCACATTTCACCATTGTTAGCCCAACTATTGATGTTGATTCTGGCTGATTGCTAAATTGCAATGAGCAGCCATTGCTCCATTTGTAATCCGAGTTGATTGTCTGTATTTCAAATGTGGTTTGAAATGCTGACTGCGGCCATTGCTGCCACAGGAGCTGCCACAAGGCGGTATAAGGGTAAATAATTTTAATGGAATTCTGTTTTAGCCATCAAAAGTGAGAAGGCATTACAATCAGCGAATAATAGCAAAGTCGAGCAACTGAATGAAATATACTGCTGATGGCAGCTAGGAGATGTTGAAAATAACGAACTGAAAATTGAAAAGGAATTAATAGAAGATAGTAGAGACTCATATAGATGGAGAGAAGACGGGAAATAGAAGATGTAAGCCAAAGGATAAAAAGTAGAAAACGTGGCAGTCGGAAGTTAGAATGAGGAACGTGACTATGAAAATAAGAAAATAGATGATTTAAAATAGAATAAAATTTGCTAAAATCAATAAAATCATAAAGCCAAAATAACATAAACCTCTATTACAATTAACAATTTGATTAGGAAACTAAGAATATACGCTACAAAATGCAATGGCATAAAAATCAGAGTATTTTCCTTTAAAGTTCCCATAGCTGTGCAGCAGAGAAGAATGCCTCAACAAATTTGAAAAATTGTTTTTCGCTGCGTTAAATAGCCGTGGGGGGGCTGAAACTTTTTTTGCGGCCAACTATTCGCAACTGAATAACTTTAAGAACTATTTGATGTAGACGCTGCCAGCGGCCATTAAACACAAACACAAACACCGAAAGGGTAAAAAATAAAATTGCCATAAAAGAAGGGAATGAAACTAATCAATTAGTTAACGACTAAGACTGTGACTGTGACTATGACTATGAGTATTACTATAACTATGACAACGACTATGATTGGCGAATGAATTTTTGTATTTGAATTTGCAGCAATTTGCAATTTATTGCCACATTGCTCATACGCACCGCAGTCGTCTATTAAAATTGTGCTCTGTCCTAAACGATTTGCATCTATTTTTTGCCACAGTATCTCACCGTATCTCTGGTTGGTATTCTTGGTACTCGTATCTACCCCTAGCAACCGGTGGGTTACCACAGCAACGACAGCCACGAAAAAACAAAAACCATTCACACACAGAAAAGCCACAAAAACTATTTTTATGCCAATGGCGACAACCGCAGAGACCGTCACACAGACACTGAAATACATAAAAGTATATACCCCATGCACCCACACACACACAGACACACACACATATAGTAAATAGTGAGAATGAGTCGGTCGCTTACATTATGTCAATAGCATAGGTAAAAGTAATTGTGGACAGTGTGGGACAAGGCGAAGGGGTTGGGTCTACGGCGACTGTCCGGCTGTCCATGTCTGGCTAAGCAAACGATGTTCATTAATGGCGCACGCCAGAGTTTTTGCGAACGGCTAGCTAAGATAACAGATAACCAATGCTACACTGAGCGAAAAGTGACACTAAATGTGTCAAGTAAAGCAAACAATCTGTACGGGCTGGCTAGTTGGGGTTAGTTAGCTAGTGGGGCAACTATTTTGTACAGTGTATACATAGTAACCAGAGCTTTTACATGGCATTCAATGGGTCGACCTTTTCATTTTCTTTATTCATTCATTTCATTTGAGTCTTTTCGTCCCTCTTCTCTTCTCTTCTTTTTGTGGCAATGCAAACAGACAACAATGTGTACACACATACACCGTTCAAAAATTGCTATCTGTGTGTGTGTGTTTGTGTTTGTGGGCGTAAGTGTCATTAGGCGGCGGCGACAAACGCGTCACGAACTTGAGCATCGATTAGTGAAGGACGGAGAACTCGGCGAGTGGACCTCACCAGAGCCTGGATACCATTTGCATTCACAAATGCTCAATTCTTGAATCAATAACCTGTTGCCTGCTTGTACAGTTGTTCGCTATGACTATATTTTGTTGTTATTATTGTGAGTGAAACATATTTGTATAAATTTTTTTATATATTTTTTTTTTTTGGCAACGCGTCGTAAGCGTGATATGGCAACAACTTTGGCGTGGACTTTTAGCGCCAGCCTGCGAATTATCAATTTGTAGCTAAAGAATTTTTATGCATAAATTATAATAATAAAACATATACTAGTGTGAGAACAGATGTGAAAAGTTACAGTGTTATGTACACATATGTATGTATCTATATATATATGTGTGTGTGTAGGAAACGCACACATAACCAGCTGGAGTCAGGTTAAGCAGCATCCGAATTGAGCTGCTGCCTTTAATTATAATAATTGTGTAAATAAACAATAAATCTCATTATCACATTCCGCTGCTCGTGCATTCAATTTTTATCACAACCAGCAACAGCTACAGCAGCAGCTGAGCCCCAGCATCAAATACAACAAAACCCGTCTGGCAAAATGACAAGAGGACATAAAACTTGTAAATAATAATAAAAGAAATAACCAAATGAGTGTTGAGGAATTTGGCAAAGTGAAAATACTCTAACTAGCATTAGGGTCAACTAGACTAGCATGAGAAAGATATTTAATTTTTTATTTATTTATTTTTTTTATATTTGCAAAGACAATAAAATCTGAGCTCCAATTGTTACAACAACAAAAATTTGCCAACACAAAAATGTATATTTAATTTAATGTGAATAATTAAAGAAAAAAAAAAAATAGAAATATTTCATTATTAATGCTAATTTTGTATATCAGGAGCTTTGTTTATTAACGTTTATATATGCGCCAGCTTTAAGATAATATTTATGTCATAACCGGAATATACAACTATTTAATATTCTTTTCAATTACTGCAAATAAATATGTGTGTGCATATTTATTCAATTATATACCAGAAAACAAATTCTTCATAATGCATAAATCCATTAGGAGGAATTTAAATATAGGCATTTTATTTTGTCAAAATACTTTTGCCGATTAATTTAGTGCTTGAATATCGTTGTGATTTTCTCTATCGAGCCTCATTAAGAAATATTCTGAAACGACACTAAAGCGGGACCATAGAATAAGACCCTGCCCAGATTGGTTATAGGTCATTATTCCTAAGTTAGCAGTTTAGTTTAGACTAACATGCTCGATGTATTTATATATACAATACTCAGCCAAATACAGTCGAAGTTTCTCAATTTCTAACCCTTGTCACAAACTGCTTGACATATGCATAATACCCTTAGACAGTATACAAAAAAAATATATTAGGGCCATGGGCAAAACAAAAGCCAAAACTCAGACAATCAAACGCAGACGCCGCAGCCCGGGTAAACATCTTGATAAAAATGGCCCTTATCACAAATTGCAGCAGAAAACGAAAGCTCCGCCTTTGTCAGTCTGAAGCCCTCACACGCCCACACTCTAACGCCCTTATATCCACACACTCTTCTTCTTCATCTCTTTATAATTTCTAACAGTTATGATAATTATTTAAAGTGTTTCATTTATTTAT